ACAAGTGGAATTAGTGTTGCATATAGCCGCAGTCATTTAATTATTATTGATTATTTTAACTAATATTTTCGAATTTAAATATTAATGGTGTGTAGGTTCACACTATGACAGAAAAGGGCATGGTGTCAATTTCTTTTGTGCTCAATCATTGGTATTGTCGCATCAAACTGGAAAATAAATAAAAACAACATAACAACTACGTAATCTAAATTTGAATTGGTTGCAGCAAATTGTTTGTTAATTAAGAATTCTAATTACTTAATTTAGAGAAAAAAAATGACAGCTGGTGCCCTTTTTTCAATTTATTTCAAACTGCAAATTTATTATGGTATGGAATGGGCCAGTTTTAAATGGACTGGATTAAGTAGGAGAGTCCGATACGTTGTTACTTATTTTGCAAAAAAGCCCAAATTTGTAACAAAACTATCAATTGATTTCTGGGCACAATTTAAAAAAATTAAAAAAAAAATAAAAAATTCTCTAAACCCACTCATTATCTCTGAAATTAGCTAAATGTCTAACCAATCAAAAAATCCCAATATCTTTTACGTATTTAGGTGGTGTTTGCAGAGCTTCAGAAAAAAATAAAAGTCGACGATAATGAGTTAAATTAGCGATAAGTGTTTATTTTTAAGAGCTGAGAGTGTTATTCCCGTAATACATATAAATTTACTTGGCAAACACATTACGGAAGTCGAAATATCATCCACACTGTAATTTAATAGTTGTGACTTGTGAGAAAATATAGCCTTAAAAGATCTTTATAAGATAAATGAAATAATTGACCCATGATTGTCATTGGTCAATAAGTCCAACAAAATTACTATTTTTCGGTATGAAGAATCTCATAAATCATAATAATCCATTAAAACGAATTAAGTAAATAAATTATCCTTTTTGGATAAGTATTTAAGTAATCACCATAATCAATAATTTGATAGTAATAATACTTCTTTCCCCACTATAATTCTACTTACCAATCACCTCTCCTTTATTGGATAAGCTCATTATAATCCATTAAACGAATTAATTAAATTAAATAAATAAATAATCCTTTTATGGATAAGCTAATCTAATAATAATTAATAACCATAATCCGAATAATATTATAATACTTCTTTTCCCACTATAATTCTGTGTAGCTCCCAACTCTTCACTCATATCTATATAAACCCCTTCCCCCTTCTTCTTTCCCGTATCTTTTACACACACACAAACACACAAACACACACACACACACAATATATATATATCTATATACTCTCGATTACGATAACAATGGCGGCGACCAATAACAGCGGTTCTAGTAGCGGTCTGATCGTCAGCTTCGGTGAGATGCTGATCGATTTCGTGCCGACGGTCTCCGGCGTGTCTCTGGCGGAGGCGCCTGGATTTCTCAAGGCTCCCGGCGGCGCGCCGGCGAACGTCGCCATAGCGGTGGCGAGGCTGGGCGGGAACGCCGCGTTCGTCGGCAAGCTCGGCGACGACGAGTTCGGCCAGATGCTCGCCGGAATCCTGAAGGAGAACGGCGTCTCCGCCGAGGGCGTGAATTTCGACACCGGCGCGAGGACGGCGCTGGCGTTCGTAACCCTACGCGCCGACGGCGAGCGTGAGTTCATGTTCTACAGGAACCCCAGCGCCGACATGCTGCTCACCCCCGATGAGTTGAATCTCGATCTCATCAGATCTGTAAGTATTGATTTCATCAGATCCAAATATACATACATATATACACACACTTTCTGTGCTTCTCCATACGTGCATTTAAATGAATTTATTATGTAATTTTTATTTTATTTTTGATTTTTTCCAATTTTTGTTGTATGTTGTTTTCTGCAAATCTTTTGAATCACAACGTCGCAATCCGTAAATCACGCACATTAACCATTTTTGGACTGTTATTTTGACTGCAATTTATTCTGGTAAATATATTCTGGTAAATATTTTATTAATTTTGACTCACATTTATTATGGTAAATATTTTATTAATTTTGGAATTAATTCGGTCTCAATAAAGCAATTAGATCATATATTACATTAATACAAACGATATTTGCAATCCATATATATGCATATTGAGTTGACAAAGTAGGCAAGTATTAATTGCAATAAACAATTTTACTTTATTTAAAAAAAACATTTTGTGTTTACAGTTTATTAATTTCAGATTAATTTCTCCTTAATGATTTAAATAAATTTGATGTGAATAAATGTAGGCGAAAGTGTTCCACTACGGATCGATAAGCTTGATCGTGGAGCCATGTCGATCAGCTCATCTGAAAGCAATGGAAGTGGCAAAGGCCGCCGGCGCACTTCTCTCGTACGACCCGAACCTCCGCCTGCCGCTTTGGTCCTCCGCGGAGGAGGCTCGCCGCCAGATCATGAGCATTTGGGATCAGGCTGAGGTCATCAAAGTTAGCGACGAAGAGCTCCAATTCCTCACCGAAAACGATAAGGTCGACGACGAATCCGCAATGTCTCTATGGCACGACAACTTGAAGCTTCTCTTGGTCACACTCGGAGACAAGGGTTGCAGATACTATACCAAGGTACCAATGTTTAACCATGGTTAATTTATTCAAATACACACAGTTAAACCTACAGTTGGGACCAACAAAATTCTATTAATATAGCCGGGACCAAGAGAAAATATTATTTAAACGAGCTTATTAATTTATCGAGGTTCTGTTGTATTTATATATTTTTATGCATTTGCAGAATTTTCGTGGGGAGGTGGATGCGTATCGTGTGAAGACGGTGGATACAACTGGAGCGGGGGATTCTTTCGTCGGAGCGCTTTTGTACAAGATGGTTGACGACCAGACGATAATCGAGGATGAGTTGAGGTTGAAGGAAGTGCTTAAATATGCATGTGCTTGTGGAGCTATCACTACTACTAAGAAGGGAGCAATTCCAGCTCTACCTACTCCTTCTCAAGTACTCACTCTTCTCAACGGGACTGAAACCATGTAAAAGAGAACAAACGGCTTTCTTAGTAGTTTAATGTTTTTCCTTAGATTTTTTTTTTTAGCTTTTGGTAATGCATAGGTGTTTTTCAATTTCTGAAACTTTGTGTTTTACAATTTTAATTTTTTCAAAGTTGTTTGACATTTATTTGGAGAAGTTTCTTTACAAAGAAATTTGATATTGTCGTCGTTTAATAGATGCTACATTAAGTGAAATACTTTGCATAAATTATCGAGATATAAATAATAAAAAATCCCATGAAATTATCAAATACAAAAACAATAATTAATAGGGCAAAATACGGCCACCCCTAAGGTATGGTCAAATTATGAAAACTCCCCTTTTATTTGGGTAATTACAGTCAACCCCCCTCTCATTTGGGTAATTACAGCCAACCTTCCGCTTATTTGGGTAATTACAGCTAACCCCCTTATTTTAAATATTTTTACATAAAATTTTATGTAATTCGGTTATTTACTGAACCAAATCGTATATTCAGTTCGGTAAACGGTATGAAATATTGACGTATCGAAATTTCGGTTCGGTTTTCCCTATTTAACATCCCTAAATTTACCTCTGGAGGGGTATTTTTGTAAGATAATACATAGTTGAGGGGTTGACTATAATTACCCTAACAGAAGGGGGTTTTCGTAATTTGACCATAAGTCAGGGGTGGACGTAATTTGCCCTAAATAATATAAAAAATGCATGTAGAGGATTTTTCGTTTTGTTGTACTAAAAGCCTACCCGTTTTCATACCGGGCTTAATCTTTTCGGATCCATTGTCATTGGGCCTAATTTTGATCCAACAAGATGAGATCATAAGTTGGATTATGAAGCTCAACTTTATATATAAAATTCATGTTATTTATTTATTATAGAAATATTATTCCTGTTAAAAAATATAAATATTAAATAATTTTGTTGGAGGTTTGATGGGAAACAATAACAAGTGTGAAAGTAAGTAGATGCTTTGGCGTCTTTGAGTGGGCCTGGTCGTTGAAACCAAGCACCCACCAATCGGGAGCCGCCACGTCGGCATTGCAACTACCTCACGGCACACATAAATAAAAATACTCCGGTAAAGACGTATAACTTTCTTCGCTTTCTCGTAATATTAAACAATTATTCCACTGACCGTTTCAATTCAAAATGGGGCCCACCCTGACAAGTCTTCCTGCGAGAAATGACGACTATACCCTTCCTTCTGGATTTGGTTTCTCACCTGTTATTTACTACTATTCTATATGGCTTTGTTAGAGATTAATGATTTGCTTTAATAATAATTATTGATTAAGGTAATGAAAATTTTAAAGTTAAATCATGTAATTTCTCTGAATTTTTTTTTTGAAAGTACCAAGGTAGTGAATCTGTTAAAAATGGTGCAAATTTAGATCGGATGGCATGTTTTAATAGGAAAATCGGATGTCATATGATGATTGACACGTGGATAGTTTAAATAAAAATATAATTATGATTCTAATAATTGAAAAAAAAAAAGCGCATTATAACCCGTAACTCCTCTAACCCTTGATTCATTAAGGATTTAGATTTAAGAGTGACACATGTCAAAAAATTAGTAGAATCCAATTTATATTAAATATCGGCTGATCCGCTCAAAATTTAATCTCTGTTAAAAATGCTCATTTAATCTCTGTTAAAAATGCTCCTAATCTCTAATAGTTTGCAAATGGATATAAAATATAATATGCACTGGACAAGTATTTACCTAAATTTCTCTAATGAATATTATTAAAAAAATATTAAAAAAGAAATTAATGTTTTAATCGAGATTAAAAAAAAATCATTAAAGTTCATCAAATGAGTTATAAATAATGATTGAACAAATAAATAAAACATATGAGAAACTTAAGGATAAAACATTATTTTTGTTTCCAGAACAATTTATTTTCCAATTTAAAAAAAAAAAAAAGTAAAAACAAAAATCAGAGCCGACAAGAAGTTCGCATCAACAATAAAACTGGTCAAACTCAAACCTCAAAAATGATTATATAGTATACTTTAAAAACACAAATCACGCGACTAAACCCACCACCAATGGGCAGATTAGTCAACCAAATTCCGCCGACGACCAACAGCGGCAGCCGCCGGTGAATGACGTGGCATTACTCCATCATTTATAAATAAAACAAAAAAAGAAAAAAAAAAAAGGGATTTTTTTTATATATTTTTTTTTTTTTTTTTTTTCTTTTTTGGGGGAAAAAAGTCAAGAGTTCACTACTGCTGAACCCGTGTTTTCGTGTCTTTTCTCTTGTGCATTATTTCCTCCGTTTTTCATTAAATTCACTAAATTCAAAGTTTTCCTTTTAATCAAAATCTGATCCAATCCCAATCTCTCTTCAGATTTGCTTCTCTCTCTCTCTCTCTTCACGCGGTTTTAATCGCCACTACCAATTCAATTCTGTTATTATTTTTTGCAATCAGGTATGATTATTTTCTTAATTTTTTTTTAAATTTTTTTTTTTTGATTTTTTTTGGGGGTCGTCTGATTAGCTTTTTGATGTGATTAGGTTTTTTGTGTAGATACAATGGGAGGAGTTTGTTCAGGAGGTACTGTAAAGAAAAGTAGGAGAAGAACTGTAGAGGTTGAGGATGAGAAGAGATCAGGGTTTTCGGGTAAGCTGAAATCTATTGGAAGCTTCGGGAAACAGAATAAGAACAACGATGAAGATTCCTATACGTATCCGGATGAGAGTAATGTTTTCGAGAAAGCGCCTCGCAATTTGTTCGATTCGGGTGAGATGAACATGACGATTGCTCGTGAGTTTAAGCTCTCGGCTCAAGCCAAAACCGCAGCTAACAAGGTAGAAAACTGAATTCATCTGATATTTGTAATTGTACATTTGTGATTTTTGGGTATTTTTTTTGTATTTGCTGTATTGGGTAAATTGAGTGATTTCGATGATCGATGGTGAAAAAATGATTCCGATTGTATTCGTGAGTTGTGAAGATCTTCACGAAGAGGCGGCGGATTTGACTTTGGTTTGGCGATTTTTTCTTTAGCAGCAGTTTTGATGAACATGATACAATATTTAGATAATAGACCTTTGTGTTGGTGAAATGATTTTAAATTGCAGTGCAGCAATCATGTTCGTCGTTTTGACTATTGGATGATAATTATTGGTAGTGCCGGAAATGTCATCACCGAAGAATCTGGTTTGGATCTATTCTTTGCTCAACTTGCAGATTAGACTGCATTTCTCTTCGACTGTGTCTGTATGAGCTAAATTTTAGATGTAGAACGAGCTTCGGCAGTAATTTTCGCGGGATTTATTGCTCAGTTCTGATTGGACCGTCGATTATTTGCAAATACATCCATATTCGTGGGAACTGTTTTTGTTCCATGCTTCGATGGAGGAAGCATATGATTGCAGAAAAAAACGTTTTTCTGTTGTGTTTATTAAAAACGTTACTAGTAAAATACTCCATTCTATTCAAACAGAATGGAAACACTTCCTTTAGTTTATTTGCTTCTTTAAAAAGAATCAAGAAAAACTCAGTTGACACTAATGCTATTTCTTTCATTATGATAGGGACCACAAACGACGTCATTTTTCGGTAAAGCCGGCATAGTAGGCCTCGAGAAAGCAGTGGAAGTTCTTGATACTTTAGGCAGCAGCATGACGAATTTGAATTCCGGGGGATTTACAACCGGTGTAACTTCTAGGGGAAATAGAATATCTATATTAGCATTCGAAGTCGCTAATACCATAGTCAAAGGCGCAAACTTATTGCAGTCTTTGTCTGAAGATAATATCCAGTTTCTGAAAAAGGAAGTTTTGAATTCGGAAGGGGTTAGAAAGCTGGTTACCACAGATATGGATGAGCTACTTCGCATTGCAGCTGCCGACAAAAGGTATTAATTTATTTTGTCTCTTTTATCCTCTCAGGCCTCGTTTGGTAGGTAAGATTAACCATGGTTAATTAAATAATTGGACCTTATTGGATCTTTGATTAGTCTAATATTTTTCGGGCCTGAGTCGCCTGACCCGCAATTGTGAAAAAATAGATAATCTTGGCAAATTGAGTAATTATTGCATCCCACGGTTCATCAACAATACAATTTATCTTGGCTAATTTTATCTTGAGAACCAAACCACCTTATTGCATGTAAAGTTTGGTTGGATTTCTTTTGTTGACCACTTTTCGCAATTATGCAGGGAAGAATTTGATGTCTTCTCTCGTGAGGTTATAAGATTTGGGAATTTGTGTAAGGACCCACAATGGCACAACCTTGATAGATTTTTTTCCAAGTAAGTGGTTCTTTACTTTGTGATTAGATACTCGATTATGTATTGAAGAATGACATTCATCGAAAAACTTTTGGTTTCTTAGATTGGAGTCGGATATTGATATTCATAAACAGCTAAGAGAAGAGGCAGATATGACTATGCATGAACTAACAACTCTGGCCCAGCATACCTCTGTAAGTTTACCTGCTTCAATTGTTCTAATTACTGTTCCTCGTAAGTTTACCTGCTTCAATATGTTGCCATGCTCTACAATAGTACACGTGGATTCTGTCATTGTTTGTTTTGGGAGTATTCTGGTGTAATCTGCTAAAAAAAATGTGTATCTTTGTAAAGAGCCCTCATGCTTTATTTGCATCTACCAATCAGAATTGAGACAGTGAGTCGAGGCGAAAGAGAGATCTTCTAGAGTAGTTGTGTTGATGATCCTATTAATCTGTACATTTTTCTTCCAAAAATTTCTTGCATATGTAATGAATTTGTTAATAATGAAAAGCTCAATTAACCGTTTCTACAGGAATTGTATCACGAGTTGCATGCTTTGGATAGATTTGATCAAGATTATCAACGGAAGCTCGAAGAAGTAGATTCACTACACCTTCCTCGCAAAGGTTTGTGACGTCGATAATTTTTTTTTCGATTTTCTATTTATTATTTTATTTTTTTGTAAGAAACTGCGTTTTAAAACTGAGATTCTATGCTCTCTGTTTGAAGACTTCTCCTTCTATTTTTCGTCTGAAGGATTTATTGCATATTATATTTGAACTTTGTTCTAAAAGAAGCACAGTGTCTCTCTCTTAATCACAACTGTGAAATTGAAGGATTTTCGTGTCTGCCTCTGATTTCTCTACCGAAAATGTTGATTATCTTAATTTTGTTGGCTTGTATTTTGCAACTGTAGGTGAGAGTCTCACGATGTTACTAAGCGAGCTAAAACATCAACGGAAACTTGTGAGGAACTTGAAAAAGAAATCTCTCTGGTCTAAAAGTTTGGAGCAGGTACATAGTTAAGCTTATTTCTATTTTAGTATTTAATATTTTTATTTCGTATATTTTTTGTTACTGTTTAGGTAATTAAGAAAATAGCTATAGTCAAGATGATGAATTAAATATAGTAGCAATAAGCATCGGGAGTTTAATTCCACATCTATATTTTATCACGTTTAGGTCGTGGAGAAACTTGTCGACATTGTTACGTTCATTCATCAAGAAATTCCTGAAGTCTTTGGAGTTGGAGATAACGGTATGAACGTGATTTATATATCTGCTTTGTCACTTTTCCTGCAATTGCTATTCTCAAAGACCAAATTGCTATTCGCTGAGTCATTATGTTAAAAATCACTTTTTACCGTCTGAAATATAATTTTATATTCATATATCTTTATACATATTGCAGGGTTGCGTTCTGCTGGAAAGGTGTCCACGAGTAAGCCAGAAAGACTAGGTGGCGCTGGTCTTGCCTTACATTATGCTAACATAATTACTCAGATTGATAACATTGTGAGTTTATTACACAAGTTAATTCTTTCAATACCTGTAACAGTTGATTTATTTGACTGAAATAATTTTGTCTTTATTTGAATTCAATTTATATAGGCGTCACGCCCGACTTCTCTTCCCCCAAATATGAGAGATACATTGTACAGTGGTTTGCCACCGACCGTCAAGAATGCTCTTCGCTCCCGATTACTGATTGATGACAAGGAAGAGGTATATTCTTTGGATAACTTGATATTTTTTTTTTCTTTTGAATTGCATTTTGGATATTGAGAAAATGTGGAATGACTTGTTACATCACTTGAGGGTAGGGTTGGAAATTGGAACGGAGCGGAATATCTGAATTCCATCGCTTCCAATCTGAATATTTCCGATTTTATGAGCAGCATTTTTTTCTGATTTTGTTTGGAATGGGATTGGAATATATATTAATTTCGATTTCCAATTTCCGATTTTAATTTCCGAATATTCCAATGTATTTCTGAAAATTACACTTATAATATCAATATTATGTATTTGATATTATATGTGAAGAAATAATTAGAATTTCCGAATTCCGCCGATTCCGATCCGATAGTTCACGATTTTGGAACAGGTCGAAATTTTGATTTTTATTAGGTCCAGAATTGGAATTAGTTTTTCACTTCCGACAAAAATCGGAATTATTCTGAAAGTGCTAATTCCAATCCAATCTGTCCGATTTCCACCCCTAACACATACCATATTACAATCTTTGTTATTCTTCCATTTTTTGCTTTTGTGTTTGATACAATCTCTCGATTTAATGTATTCGTTGTGCCTTTTTGCAGCTAACAGTTCCTCAAATCAAAGCCGAGATGGAGAAATCTCTCCAGTGGCTTGTCCCTGTAGCAACCGACACTACCAAGTACGTTCTATTCCACTTTCAAAACAAATTCTACGATATTTTGTCTTGTCTCAATTCTTGATGAACTAACACAATATTTCCCTTATTTAAAAAAACAGAGCACATCAGGGTTTTGGATGGGTCGGTGAATGGGCCAACACAGGGTAAGTTAAAGCCTCGATTCTTCTACTCCAACAAACTTAATGCCGCGTCTGGAAGCCATTTCTAATCCCTCCGGTTTTTGTTCTTTTCTTTGCAGTAACGATTTTGGCAAAAAAACGAGCACGCCAAACAACCTCATACGCCTACAAACACTCTACCACGCAGACAAAAATAAAGTCGATACTTGCATACTCGAGCTCGTGACTTGGCTCCACCGCCTCATAAGCCTCGTGAGGTATAGAGACAACGGGCACAAGCCAATCCTGCCGCCAGCTCGCTCCCCAAAGGTACAACTCAATAACGGCAAGGTGCAACTCTCGTCAGAGGATAGAAATCTTTTAGACGATGTAATGACACGGAGGAAGTTGGTACCCGGGCTGAGTAAAAGCCAAGAATTCGTGGTGGTGAAGAATAAGAAGAGTAAGATTTGGGCAATGAGTAGAAGCACCGGGAGTTCACCGAGAAGGGGTTTGATGAAACATCAAAAGGAAGATGTTTTGGATATATTGGACGGTTTGGATTCTTCGTTTTCGTTTTCGAGAGATGTTATGAGGTGAAGTGCTTTGTCTTCATTCTTTTATTTGATTAATTAACGATAAAAAGAAAAGGGAATTCGAATCTTGGGCGAATATTTGTGTATATATTTGCGATTATCGAGCGTGGGATTTATATATATATATGTTGGAAATTTTGTATTTATAAATTAACAAGGGGAAAAATTCTTCTACTGGTTATAAACTTGTATTATTCGAAAGGTGAATATTTTGATTCGATCCATCCGAATTTTCACTCGTATTTTCGGACGTATTTAAAATGTCGTAATCATTGAGATAAAGAGAGGAAAGGCCATGTTCCATGGATCCAAACAACGACAAGCAAAAATAAAGAAAAAATTGCAAGGGAGGGAGGAGCACATGCATTATTTTTTCTTTTCTTTTTATCCTTTTATTTAATTAATAGTAATATTTAATATCAAATATTTATTTAACGTTATCGGAATCCGAAGCTTGTTTTCAAGATTCAACGAATTATGTTGTCTGGAGAAAAGCTTTGGCCGACCTCTTATATTCCTTCTAAGTGACAACACAGCAAACACTGGGTCCCACTTTTTGGATCGACCAATGTTGAAAATTCGCAATATATATCTGTAAAGACATAATTTTCTTTTTTTTGCTGCAAGTTGCATTTTCTTTTTTAATTAAAACAATAAATAATTCGAATTTTATGTTAGAAGGAAGAATTTTGGTCAAGCGTGACATATTTTTTATTTACGTTGTATATAAATTTATTATTAGAATAAATTTTGAAAGAGTCGTGTTTTGTTTTTATGCGTAGTGAAGTCGTGTGTATAAATTTCAAAACACTAGACGACAAAGTGACACACATGGATACTTATTTGAAAAATGGGATATTTTCTTAGATGAGATAACACAAATTTTTAAAGATAAATAAAATTCTATAAAGATGGTGTATGCAAAAACTTTTAGAAAGAGATTCTGAGCACTTTGGGTGCATAATCACTTCTGGAGTGTTTGCAATGCCGGTTTTCATTGAAATTAAGTTGGCTCTAGCTAAAACATAAAAAACGACCGTGAACCAATTTCTATTGAAAAAAGTTGCTCGAAATTGATTTTTCATGGAATCTAAATCACTCTCAACTATTAAAAACAAAAACTTATTATTAACTTCACTCATTAACCACCGATTCTATATTTTAAATTTTTGCAAACACCAAAGGATATTAAAGCAAATTCACATACAAATACTGAAAATACATGTTTGACTTGTCAAGAAAATAAAGGAAGTTCCAGAAAACTGGCTTTTCTCCCATTTGATGAGTCGGCTAATTGGCCCCAGCTCCGGACCCGGCCCCCGACCCCCACCCGGCCCGTAACGTCGGTACGCTAATGAGCTTTTCACTGCATCACGAGATCCAATGAATTTGTTATTTATTAAATTTCTGATAAGAAAAAAAAAACTGTTTTTTAATTGGTTCTTGTTTCCATGGGTGTTACGTGGCAGCAGGACACCTCATCAGAACATAAATAATTTCACCGTCAACTGACAATTAGCTCCCCCAAAAGGGGTTCAGAATCTTATGCAAAACTGCAAACTCCTCAAATTAATTTCAGTTCTTTAATTATTTAATTTAAAAAAAAATGTAATGCTATATAAAATATTGCTAGTGAAGTACATGCAACAGATCAGATCATAAGCATCGGCATATTCGATTATTATTTATTATTATAAATAATGAAAATTAATGCAGAGCCTCTAATTACCGAGTCAGCAAATTCCCGTCATTTTATCCATATCCCAGACATATGGATAAGCCAGTTCAATAATTCATCGCCCACGCTGACTCATCACCCCCGTGGGGCCCACTTCTCCTCCCACACACACACTATCCCTTCCTTCTCTATATATAACTGATTCCCTTCTCAGACTGCAATCATCTTCAATTCAATTCAATTCAATTCAAAATCACACTCACACCACAATCAATCAATCAATATATCTATACAGTTAGTTAACAAATCGTATTTTTTTTCCTCTGAAATTAACCATGGCTTCCACATCATTTGCGCTCCCGAATCAATTCACCGGCCGGAGATTCCCGGCCGCGCCGCCGCAGATGTCGCAGAATCTCCGCCAGACGATGCGCGTCTCCGCCCGCTACGCCACCGCCGAGAGGACCTCCTCCTCCTCCTCCGCCTCCGCCGCCGCCGGAGAATCCGGAAATTCGTCCTCGCACACGGCGTCGTTCTACGACGTGCTAGGGATTCAGGCCGGCGCCACCAGCCAGGAGATCAAGTCCGCCTACAGAAATTTGGCACGGACGGTCCACCCGGACGTGGCGCCGAACTCGGCGGACGAGTTCATGAGAGTCCACGCGGCGTACGCCACTCTCTCCGACCCGGAGCAGCGCGCGGTGTACGATAGCTCGCTCTTCCGGATGCGGCGGAGGACGACGGTGGTCTCGATGGGCGGCGGCGGCGGATATTCCGAGATGAGCCGGGGAAGGAGGTGGGAGACCGATCAATGCTGGTAGTGAATAAATCTAGGGATTTTCCCAATTTCGGAATATTCGGATTTGGGGGAAACTGTGTACAGATGTTTAACGCCCACAAAGATTCTGAATGTCTCGTCATTATTTAATTGTAGACGAAATCTTTGTGTAAAAATAGAAAAAAAAAATGAGTAGAATTTGTATATATATATATTTGCATTTTGCTCTGTTTATTTCATAATTTGATTATCGACCATCAAAATTGAAAACAAATGTTTTGAGTCATATGAAATACGGACCACACACTGTTATTGTACTTTAGATTCTAATTAAAATATTCAAAAAACACGACACGATTTCAACTTGAGTAGTCGTATCCGATCATATAAGTGCATTGTTTGATCGTTAATTTTATTAGTGAAGGCTGGAAATCAAACCAAATTACACGATTCAAATTCAATAATTAGAAGCTCGACTGATTAAAATAACGAATCAAACTTGAATACATGTTTTATTCGACCAATAGTGCATTAATTTTTTGCTCGGGCTTGATGTGGAAAATATGATGAATTATGTTTAAAAAAATCAAGCTCGACCCGATTAAAAGTTAGTTCGAGCTGAACTTAGCTAGATTACTTTTCAAATCAAGCTCAAACACAATTTGTATACCTTAATGAACAAGCACGAATAAACATATGTTCGGCTCGGCTCGATTTTTTTTCTCACACTCCTTCAATTGGTTGTGCTCATTGATGCAACCATAAATTCAATTAATCACAACAAGAGATTACATGTGCTGCGATTAATCACCTTATTTAATTGTCTACATTAGTCATACAATAAATATCTTATGCTGAAGTTGAATTTATCTTCTATAACTCAAGAGAAGCTTGTAAGAAAAATATCTTTATGTACATTGATTTGAAGCCACAAACATAGATGAAAATTTAGAAAAAAGAATTATTATTACAAACAAAATATCCAGTCCTTGACATCACTATAGCAAGTTGCTGTTGGGCTTCAATAATGCAGATTCTTTTAAATTCCACGCGTCATACATTCAAGCTGTCATCATACAGCCGCAACCGAAAAATAATAGAGATCCCGACATCTCAATTTAAGCAATTTCGGCGAAAATCGGAATCGAATTCCGTCGATTACGATTCAGTGTTTCTTTTTATTCTAGAACAATAGTTTTTATTGCTAAATTTTCGGAAAGAAATTGTAATTAGTTTTTTCACTTTCAGACTTTTCTCGGAAAGTGTTAATTGCGATTCGATACGTTTCATTCTCACAGCTGACGAACAATAAGTTAAGAAAATCGAAAAGAAGATGCAAATCACGAGAAAAAAACTCCTGATGTAAGGCCTAATTATGAAAACCACCATCATGTTTGTGTAATTATGCAAACATGAGGGGTATTTTCGTAATTGGACCTTACCTAAGGGGGTAAGTCATAATTTTTATCCATTTGTTTTTGTTTATTAATATTTTAATAAAATGAAATGACAGTTTGGATCTATTGGATTTTTGGATTTGTACTAAATCGGAGAATGGATGGAGATATGTCCGAATTAATTATTATTTGTTGGACGACTATGTATCGAATGGATTTGTTCGACCCTACACCCGGTGAAAAACATCGGGTGGGTCTTCTGCAGCCACGTGTCTCTTTTTTGTATTTTATAATAGATTCCCCACTAGGGGTTACCTTTAGGGGTTTTAGAAAAATAAAAAAAAGAACACGTGGCAGCAGAAGACCCACCCGGTGTTTTTCACCGGGTGTAGGGTCGAAGGAACCGTATCGAATGCTAATTCCCAATGGTCCCATCTTTGGGTACAATTAATTGTCTCGACCTTTTGGATAATAAGTTACCTTCCCAATTTGACCTATTATTGCTTTGATCTTACCAAAGCTCGAGGGGCCAACCCAAAATTACGACTACATGTGATTATACAATTGTATAGGATGATTTTAGTGGTCCAAATATCATGATTAATTTCAATTCATTTTTGTTTCATTATGAAACTATGTCAAGAATTATTAAATTTTATCTAATTTTTGGTTAGTGCAATACTTATCAAAATCGATGTTTGAACGGCCCGGGATTTCAAATTGACCACGGTTCGGAATACCATATACCTATGCAATGGAAGCCCAAACAATTGGGCCTATGTTCGTGAGGACTAACACGATAAGTCGAGCTGAAGGGCCCGGCTTTCTACTCGATAGTTGAGGAGTGAGATCGAAAAGTAATACCAAATTTGGAAGGCCCATTAAATGATATGTCCTATGCAATTATTGCATGAACACTAACATTTAATGCTGGGGTGTCCGACTGCAACGGACAATGGTAGTGACCATGACTCCATACTAAAAGGCCTCACCTAAAAAGAGGCTCGGGGGCATGGGCGCGTGGCAGATGTTGACCGGCTAGTCTAATGATGATGATTATCCGGATAAGCTGCGGCGAGTTGACAGGAGCGGCGAGATAAGTATACATAAAAATCCTCCCCCATAAAAGGCAAGATTTCTACAACTCACATACTAAATAAACTCTCTTCATAAAGCATCCAACCAACATAACAACGTATCTCTGGCGTCAGTTCGAGTGTTCTTCCTTTTAAGTGAACCTTAATGGAATACCTTCCCCCAACCGACCTTCTAAAAGAAGCCCATGTAACCTCCTCAATGCTTCGTGGACGGATCACATATAATAATATATAAAAAAATTCTTTAATTTATTTTTAAGAATTAGAATTATTATATAAAACCATAATTTTACGTATTAAATTATAATCATTTAAAAATTGAATTGAAAAAAAAAGTTAAGATGGATGAAAAATCGAACATAAATTCGGTTTTATTTTGTTTATTTTTTGAAAAAGGTTGAGCCCAGTATTGAAATGCTGTAGCCCAAGGAATAAATGGGCCAAAGTTTCATTATTCAACAGACAAACAGGCCGAGTCCATGTAGTCGAACCGCACACAGAGGATGGCTCACGTTTTGCGGCCGTTGATTCAATGGCCCCGGTGGTGGCGCCACCGTCACTCGACATTCTCGCCTCTCCTCTTTCTCCATTCAACTTCAACACGCGCCGCCACGAGTGCTCCGTTCTTCGCAGTCTTCTCCACCTCATTCCGCGAAGCTCACTCCCGCTCCCGCGGTCTTAAATCACGCGCCGCAGCTTCGTCCGCCGACGTTGCTGAGAGCGACGGCGAATCCTCTGATGGCGGCGGAGCGAAGAAGAGCCGGAATGAGAAAAAGCGGGAGGCTCACCGCGCCGTACGCTGGGGTATGGATTTAGCCAGCTTCTCTATTCCCCAAATCAAATTCATTCTTAGGTATTGTTTTTTCTCCAATTTCAATTTTACCATCAATTGCCTCAGAAATTAAGCATTTGATTTATTTATTTGTTTTTTACAATTTTCGTTTCTCTGTGTGTTTACAGAGTGGCGGAATGTGAGGTAGAGGTGTTTGAAGCTCTAATGGTAGTGAAGGTGATTAAATCGTACTTAATTATGTTGTTTTATTCTGTATTGTTCATTTTTTATTTGGTGTTGTCGATAAACAAAAAAAAAAAATCGAATTTTAATTGCAGGGACTAGGCCGTGATGTTCGAGAAGGAAAACGGAGACAATTGAATTATATCGGTGAGAAAGGACTAAACTATATTGTTGTATTGATAATGCTACATATTCTTATTTTTATGGAGAAAAACGAGTTTCCTGTGATACGAGATATTGAATTTATTCAATTGTCGCACTTATGTATCTACCATTTTATATGCACATAACACGATTCGTGGAAATGGTAGGAAAACTGCTACGAGACGTGGAGCCTGAACTAATGGATGGTTTAATTCAGGCCACAAAAGACGGGGACCAGAGTAAGTTTCAACACTTATTGGTTGATGACAAAGAAGAAGAAGATGGAGAAGAAGAAATCGAAGTGGAGGATGACGAAGAGGTACGAGAAGAAGTGATACTTTTTAGCTGTGCAACTATAATATTCTGCAGTATTCATTCGTTCGATAATCTTTTTTATTTATTGTGTATATATGATGTTGTATGCAAGAAGCACTATACATTTTCTAAAGCTGTCGCATTCAATAAGTTACCTTCTACTTCTTGTGAGAGATTAACGTGATAAATTTTATGAACACTCCTGTACAATTTCGTTTCTTCTCGTTGATTTTTGCATATTCAGTTTCGTAACAATTTTCAGTATGTTGGCTAATAAGGATAAATATATCATATCGCTGCCTTTTGCTTCACAGGATTCTGCGGTCAGCCCTTTTGTAACGAGATGGTACGATGGCCTGATCAATAAGGATATTACCATTACCAATGAAATATATTCACTTCGGGAAGTTGATTTCGATCGTCAGGTCAGTTTTATTTCAGACTCTGATTCAATCCAAAGATGTCTGTTTCATGTTTTTCACCGTAGTGCTTGCTGTACTTATTTTCGTGTTTTTTGTCCATTCACTGATGATTTATAGCTAACATTCTAGGAACTACGACAATTGGTTAGGAAAGTGCAATCTGCACTAGAGCCTAAATCCAATTTAGAGGAAAACGGAAAACCAGCCGCCGCTGCTGCTGCTGCTGCTGCTGTGAACGCGAGAAAATCCCTCACTCGTTTCCTCCAAGTTCTTGCTGAACAACTTCCAGCTAAGTAACTTATCTGTATCTTTATATGTACTCGAACAATTTATCCTAAATTTTTGAATTTTTTTATTTAAATTTTGTTTCGTAATTGATTATCTTCTTAGGTGAATGAATCACATAATCAGAGTCGATTGTCTTTAATGCTTGCTTTTGGAATTCATTAGGATCGTATTGAATCCGATTCGAAGTTGAACCTTTTAGGATCAAAGTTTAGATAATTTGCCATTTTTCGTCACATAAAGCACATGAAAGAAAGGAAAAAGGAAATACTTTAGAGTCAAGGTGCCCTTTATTTCAACTAGATATAAAGTTTACGATAGTAATTTATGATTATTCGAATACAGTAAATAGCTTTATCATGTTGCAATACCTAACTCGTACCGCAATTTGGACTAACTATTACCTAAAATTCAACTTTACTGAGTGGGAACAATTTGGATAAGGTGACCGCATTCCACTACACCATCTAATTTTTCATTACTCGAATTTCTGCGACTGGTAAAAAATGTTATGCTCCTTTTTTTTTTTTTTTAAATTGTTTTTCCCCCCTTTTAGAACACTCATTTTATCTCTGTACACTTTTGTCGACCATAGGTATTTACATCATTGTATTGTATGTATTGATGCTATTATTGAATAAAATACACCGAATATTATATGATCGTATAATTGATACAGTGTCACGCATAAAATACATGTAAATCACAAATTTTTATTTGATAAATAACACTCTCGTGCAATAATTTGCAAGCAGTCACTGATCTGTTTATTCTAATAGTTGCGGGTCCCGAACTCGAAAAGTTTGATAAAACTATGAGGTATAAAACAAATTCTTTCAAGATTGTGTCGATGATTGATTTATGCATCCCGAATTTTTTAATTCCCTCGAACAACTAGGCACTAGCTGTGCTCGTCTTCGTGTGAGTCCATTTTGCTGTAAAGTAACCCTAAAATCGTCCGCTTAGCAGAATTTTTTTAATCATATTTGTGCAACACTAGGAAAGATTCATTGTGCTTGTTGATTTTCTTTCTGGTTCTTTCCAAAAGTATAACTTTATTGATTATCTGTTATTAATCTATGCAAATTACATAGTTGTAAAAAAAATTGAAGTCATTAACATTAAATTATTAGTACAATAATACATGGGATTAAATATTAATCTTGTATAAACATCTTAATTACTGATGATTAGCCAATACTTTTGACCGTTGAAGATCCTTTGACCTTTGCAATTAAGGATATTAACCTTTTGTACAGGTTTTCTGGATTTGGGTCAAATAACAAACACTAACAGATAAATTGACATCCAAACAAGAGTAGATAAATTAAACCTTAACAAAACGTGCAATTTGAAATTCTTGTTATTTACTGGTCAATTAGATTGTTTGCCAATTAGGACTTTTTCAAATTCTTCAGTCAGTCACAGATAAAACCACCAGCCGCCGCAGCCTAAATCATTGGATGGATAGTTTTGGAAGACCAGAGCTACGAATTCGAGACACAGTGGACTTAACATTTATGGGGTTCGGGGTCCCCGATTTTTTTTTTTTTGATTCATTCATATCACTACAAATTTATAAACTTTAACTAATATAACATAAATGTTTTGGTAGATAGGCCTAAATTACTTGGGTGAGCTAAATTGAATTATTTGAGCTTGCTAATTATATATAGCTATAATGTGTAGTAGAAATTCTTAGGAATTCACAGTGGGTTGGAGCCGAAGCTCCGCTGCTGTGTGCGATTTGTATGAATTCATATACGTGTATAGGAATATATAATATGATAAAATTCATCGATGTAGCATAAAAGAAATTAGGTAACGAGCGAGTCAAATAACAAAAATCGTGTTAGAAAAGGAAATCAACTCTTTAATATTTGTTTAATTACAAATAAAAACAGTGACTGTATGAAAATGAAATATAGAGTGGAGTTAAATATCTTGAAGATACCATCGAAAATATATTCTTCCACCAAAGTGGTGTTTCTCCTTTTCTTTTTTTCCCTTTTTCTTTTTTTGCACTCGCTTCTCCATCGTAACTTTTGCAAGCTGAGAACGGGGCCGATAAGTGATAATCCTACTAAAGTCGTGTTTTGAGCCGTTACTGTCAATGTAGATATCGATCTTCAACGGCACAGAACAACACGGGATGGTGTCTCCTCACTCATGCAAGTGAAAGCACAACTTTTCGGGAACCAAATGTAAAGAACTGTAAAAAAGGTACTTTAGAAAAAGAAATGCTTACCCCGCTGTAAAAGTCGCGATTGAAGTTTGTCAAAAGCGTTACTAGCTGGAGGAAGTTTTAGCGATCGTTACACTTGAATTTGTGAGAACCGTCCGCACAAAATGCTACCGACTTAATATTAGATTATTATCATTTTTTAATTAGTGACACATTTTGTGAGATTAATACATTTTATTTTCTTGAAATGTAATTTAATATAGGATTATTTAAATGTTTTACATTATTATAAAATTAAATAAATATCTTGCAAACCTAAAAATATCTTGTAAATTATTGATCGGATATGATGTAAGCAAATTAAATTACATGATGTGGACCTTTGGTGATCGATTGCCACTACTATATCAATATATATTGACAAATAATTTTGTATTGTCACACAAAAGACGAGAAATGAAAGCGATTTTATTTATTTATTTATTTTATATCCCGTATAAATAATAGAAACATATAAATCTCATTACTTAACCATATTTCAATATTTTTTTATTGATTGAGTATATTAGCTGATGAATATATTCCTGAACGGTTTAGAAATTTTATCTTATTTCAGAAAAATGGCTTTTTACCACCAAAAATTTTGTGGGTTCGGGTTAGTTTTCCGTTACAAATCGGGTTATTCATCTTCATATACCAATATTTATATGTATTTTTTTTTTTCTGAATCAATAGTAAATTAATTAGGTAATTCACCAATTTTAACATGAAATTAATCATGCTTGGAGTCAAATCGTTTATAACGTGTGATTTGACCATCATCCACCTTATGCTATATTTTTATAGCAGTCAATAGTTAAAAAATAAAAAAAGCAATTTCGTTTCTTTCCTAGTAAAAATATTGGAGTACTACAAAAGCAACATTACTATTCATCCACTTTAATCAAACATTATATCCACTTAATTTTACATTTTATTTCGATTTCAGTTTTTGGATTTCAATTTAAATGACCTTTATTTATTCATTTAAAAGAAGATAGTGGTTAATTCCCCAATCTCAAAAATAAAATAAAAATGATTTTTGTTTGGATTATATAGTTCAACTAACAATGTGAAAGTTTAATGGTAGGTGGATCAATTCTTAAACTTTTCAATAAAATTAAACTAATTTTAAATAAACCAGAAAAAAAAATGTAACTTGAGTGATCCCAAGACTACTTATTAATCAATTGTTTTTAATTTTCAACTCCAATTATTGAAAATCATAAATCCAATTGTAAATTTGCTTTTTCAACCGCCTTTTACTAAAGAATATAATGCACAAGCATTACAGTACTCCTTTTATTTCTCTTATCTGCACTGCCTATAAATATCTCCATCACCACCCTCTCTACCAGAAACCGTCTTCTCTCACTTTCTCTCTCTTCATTTCCTTGAAGCTAAGGTTTTCAACTTTCACCATTTTCGTGACCGTTAATTTTACACACACAAACACACAACACAATGGGAAAATTCTGCTGCTTACATATTTTGCTCGTTCTCTGTAGTTCATTCATAGCAGGTAATTAATTCAGCTGATTGATCAAAATTTTGATTCAAGTAATTTCTTATGAATTCGATTTTGGTGTGTTTCTATAGATGAATCTAATTTGATTAGCTTGCGATTTTTGATGAATTACTGTGAATTCGTGTTTGCAGGAGTTTATTCAACGGCGACGTTTACGTTTGTGAACAAGTGCGAGTTCACGGTGTGGCCGGGCATTTTGTCGAACGCCGGAATCACGCCGCTTCCGACGACCGGTTTCGTTTTACAGACCGGCGAGGCCAAAACCGTCGTTGCGCCGTCGTCGTGGGGAGGCCGGTTCTGGGGGAGGACACACTGCACCGAAGATTCCGCCGGGAAATTCTCCTGCGTCACAGGTGATTGCGGCTCCGGGAAGCTGGAATGCGCCGGCGGCGGAGCCAAGCCGCCAGCTACGCTCGCGGAGTTCACACTCGACGGCGACGCCGGGAAGGATTTCTACGACGTCAGCCTCGTCGACGGTTACAATCTGCCGATGCTGGTGGTTCCCCAGGGCGGCTCCGGCCTGAACTGCTCGAACACGGGGTGCGTGGGAGATCTGAACGGCGCGTGTCCGTCGGAGCTGCGCGTGACGAGCGACGGCGGCGAGGGCGTCGCGTGCAAGAGCGCGTGCGAGGCGTTCGGGAAGGAGCAGTACTGCTGCAGCGGAGCGTTTGGCACACCCGATGTCTGCAAACCGTCGGAGTACTCGCAGATGTTCAAAACCGCGTGCCCACACGCGTACAGCTACGCGTACGATGACAGGACCAGCACCTTCACATGTGTAGGCGCCGACTACACCATAACGTTCTGCCCTTCCCCAAACACGAGGTATATTTACGCAAAACCCCACACACGTCACACACACAACGTTCCTTTCCATCCAAGGTTAATTCCGTCATTTCACCAATTCATTAAAAAGCCTGTCAATATGAACGTTGGCCACATTTCACAGCACTTTTAACGCCTATCAAAACAAAATATCTGAAGGAATCTTCAATAAAAATCATTAGGCAGCTTTACTATATATATAATAATAAGAGATTAAATTCGATTGATAAGCTGATATTTAATATAAATTGGATTTCACTAATTTTTCGATACAGGGCAACTAGTTATATTTTTATTTAAACTATTCAGGTGTCTATGATCCTATGGCATTCGATTTTTTTATTAAAACAGGACATTCGGTCTAAATTAGTGCGATTAATTAGTGCATTATTAATCGTTAATTAATCTCACATGCTGAAATTAATCACCTATTAATTTGCCTAAGGTCCACCAATTTAATATCGGAATAATTATTATTATTATTATTATTGATTCTCAGCAAATTGCCGTTAACGTTACCGTCATCTAACGGCGAGCCAACACTATCATGATAAATAAATTCATTTATTTTAAATTTTAATTCTTACATCAGTTAGTAACAAAATAAATTGCTTCGAATTGCAGTCAAAAATCATCATCTGGTTCTTCCGGCGCGCAAAATCCGGGATCGGAAAGCAACGGCAAATCACCGCTCGACGGCAACATGGTGTACGAAGGTGCGCTGGAGGTGAGCGGTGCACCACGGTCGTCCACGTGCAGCCACGTGTTGGGCGGAGGGATCGCAGTCGTGGCGGCAATATGGTGGTTGTGTCAGCTCTTCTAACCTGTAGCTGGGAGTTTCGTTTTCCAACTTTCAGAGAGCGCGTGTGGCCCCCCCACCAGTGTTGTCGGGTGTTTGGGTGGTTACATCACGTGTGGACCCCCCACTAAACCGCCTCTAAAACGGGCCTTGTGGTATGGGCCCCGTTGATATGGCCCATTTGACGAGGCAGCGAGTCACCCAACAATGATGGCACAACTCACTGAATCAACGAAATGAAAACATAAATCAAAAATAATAAAAAATTAGTTTAGATTTGTAGTAGGAATTAGAGCAAAACACACCGCCAGGGCAATTATTAGTCATATGGGGCGGTGCCGGATTTTTATTTTTATTTTTTTAGAAGTTATTATTATTGATTTTTATTCTATTGAGATTCAATTTATAGGTTAGGGAAATAGTTTGTACTATGATGAAATGTTTGTTTAATCACAAGTTTCTTTTTCTTATAATAATAATAATAATAATAATAATAATAATTGAGAATTATGCAGTCATATGATTCATTATGATGCTTTGTGCGGGACTTGAATTCATTTACGTGCACGTTACTATTTAAAGAAATTGAAGCATGTGGTATAGATGCAAATTTTAACTTATAATCCCTATATATAATTGATTTTGAAAATATCTTTATATAGTCAAAGCTTAAGGTTGAGCATGTAATGTGAACTAGTACCGGCACAAAATAAGCAAGTGTGCAATGATCGATCCTCTATTCAAACAGTACTATTTTATTTTGAATTATTTTAAAATTATAAAATACACACCAACTTTATATAAAATGAAATTATAAAAATGTATATGACGTATATTGTTATACACCATTTAAAATAAATAAAAAAATCTAAGAAGTAATAACCAAACGAAAAGATTGAAACAAATAACTAAATAAATGTGTAGGGCATGCAACATGTCCTACCTTATACATATTTATTGTTGAGGGGGCTTCGAAATTTTTTCACAATTATTTTCGACAATCGAATTATATATCGCGTGTATTAGTAGAATTTAATGATTAAAGAACAACTGAGTGCGTGATAGAATAGGCGTAAGCCAATTAAGTGAGTAATCTTGCAATATAATCTTTGGATTATTTAATGGCAATACTGTAATAAGTGTGTTTTATAGGTCAACTATTTCGCTCGACTCCAAAAATACCTTTATCTTGGGTGATCCTGCATTATTAATATAAAATATAAAACATACAGATGCCATTGTATGCTTATATTTATACATATGCATGCTTATGAACATTAAATATCTAATGAAACATTGAGATGGAATATTATATAAAAAGTATGTATAGTTATAAACTATATATATATATATATATATGTGATACTATAATTTATAAATAACTAATGTGTTGTGAAATGTAATAATAAAAAAAAAACACAAAACAGTTGAATCGTATGTGTCGCCACATCACTGATGCATTAAAATAGAGTTATTTCTTTGATTAATATTTAATTATATCACTTATTAATTAGACAAATCAGATTATTTCACTTCAAATTTCTCAAATTGATGTTACTGCGCACCTACGCTACCTACTAAAACTAAATAAAATAAATTTTCAGTTAATAATTCTTACTTAACTATTTTTCATTCAATTTTAGATAGTATGGGCTTTAAGATGACAAACAATAATAACGTTGCACGCGCGTAGGCTTGTTTTGGGTCTGTTGCCCAAAGTTGGTGCATTTTGATTTACTGAAATGCTAAATGTCGTTTCAAATTTATTAATATTGTGTTGACTTTGAATGTAAATTTTGACCATTTAGAGTCTGACTTTGATCAGATTTTGATAAATTTCAGTACATGAAAATTATAGTTCTTCGAGTTAGTTTTCTAATTCAACTTGAATCAGATGGGTTAGATGTAGTGTGAAATAGTTATGCATGAATCAAGGACGTTTTGAATTTTACATATCTCGAACACTAAAGTTGTGGGTATTATTCGTTGATTCATTCATTTATTCTCACTCGATATATGTTTAATTTTGTTGATTCAAGTTGGATTACAAAAATAACTTAAAGAACTACAAATTTCGTGTTTAACGTTTTATGAAATACGGACCGATGAACAACGGTCAAAATTAATCATGCGTTTGAAGATTACTTAATCGGCTTCTTCGACCCTACACCCGGTGATAAACACCAGGTGAGTCTTCTGCTGTCACGTGGTTTTTTTTTTTTTTTTTTTTTTTTGTATTTTTCTAAAACCCCTAGAAATTAACCCTAGTGGGAAATATATTATAAAATATAAAAAATGATATCTGGCAGCATAAGATCAACCTAGTGTTTATCACCGGGTGTAGGGTCGAAGAAATCTTAATTAACCATATTATAAAAAAACATTATTTATTCTAAGAATCCCACATCGACATGACGTCATCATGTAATTAAAGCATAGTTTTAGTTAATGGATTCTGATTCAGACATGATTTAAGCAGTAATGATCATGTGATTAGCTTAGGTTTAACTTTGGATATCTCTACTCATCTAGTACTGCTATCATTTTCACTCTAATTACACGATTAACTCTTAATTAAAATGTAATTATACAAAGAAAATTAGAGAGTTGTTAGATGAAGAGTATAAAGATAGAGAAGTTAATGTTAACAAAATAAACAACCGGATTATTTAACCATTAAAAATAAGGGTAAATAGCTTGTACGCCCTGTAGTTTGAAATAGGGTAAAAATATTTAAAATAAATAATTACATAAGTAGCAATAAGGTAGGATTCTTCACGGGTTAGTTTTAATTTTGATAATTGTTAAAAATTATAGTTCGAAATTAGTAGAGAAAAAAATATTAAAAATAAATAATTACATAAATACCATTACCGTTTTTTTAGGGTTGCCCAGCGTTTCTTTCTTTTATATATAAGATAACTCCCTTATATTTTTATTATCGCACATGATCCTTTTATATTTTAATATAAACACACAAACCCTTGTATTTTCAAAAAAAATTCTTCCAAGTAAGCAATGATTATTTACCAAGTAGAACATCATAGAGGGGTTTTGTGCGCTTATATTAAAAGTTTTACCAGGATGTCATGTGCACAAAGTTGAAACTACAGGGCTCATGTGCTTATATTGAAAGTTCAGAGGATCATGTGCACAAGTTCAAACCAGGTACACGGGTTAAGTGTTAATTAAATATAACACTAACTAGGGATTATATTTTAATTTGCAATATAATATATATTAACTCCTTTTATTTTTCTTCTATACAAGTAAATGGTCCTAACTCCTAAATTAAAAGATTCTATCTCCTAGCAAACTTAGATAAGAAGAAAACAAACATTAAACCAGATTGGACAACAGTTCCTATAATTAACTATCCATTAATTATTATATTTTATCAAAATCTTTGTGATGAATTGTCATGTAATAAAAGTTGAAGTCCTCCAACATTCTGCATCACTATATATCACTTTGCTTATGTTCTCACACACACACACACACACACACTGCGAAGTGTTCTTTTGTTTTGGATAAATATAAATCAACCTCCAATCGAAAGATCCTTCTTTTGTTTACCTTTCTTTTTCCCAATTCAAGAAATATATATATGATGTGCCTAATTCTTAATTGGGTTTTTGGCCTAAAAGGCCAAATCAATCCAATTAATAATTAAAGCCCAATTATCACATCTACTAAAATTCAATAGGATTTTAGTTATAACATATTGTCCCACATCGGATTTCTACAAGAAGTCTCCATATTCCATCACCTATAAATATGTGATTTAACTCATATAATAAGGTAAGCACTATTTAGGCAATTAACTAATATTATTTGCTTATATTGTGATAGTTTTCTGACTTGAGCGTCGGAGGACAATCGCCGGGCCACCCCCGGCGTGTCACCTAGTGTTTTCAACTGTTTCCCCGGCGTGTCACCTAGTGTTTTCAACTGTTTTGTAGGTTAACGAGTGGAGCGATCCCTTCGACTACCTCGGACGCGTGGCAAGGACTCTCGGCATTCCCGATATTGGGCTTGAAGATTCTCGGACTTAGAAGACCTGTGGTTTCAAGACCATTGGGCTGACCCATCATTTTTGGAGCAGCATCATTTTGGCGCCGTCTGTGGGAAGGCAAACTAGATCACGTGTCATGACGAAGAGGATCAAGGCGATCCCAACCACTCGCCCCGAAGAGTGGAAGAGTCTTAGAGCCGCCCGCCTCGAGGAAGCGACGGAGTCTCAGAGCCGCCTCGAAGAGCGGAGGAGTCTTAGGGCCGCCTCGATGAAGCGACGGAGTCTCAGAGCCGCCCCGAAGAGCGGAAGAGTCTTAGAGCCGCCCGCCCCGAGGAAGCGACGGAGTCTCAGAGCCGCCCCGAAGAGCGGAAGAGTCTTAGAGCCGCCCGCCTCGAGGAAGCGACGGAGTCTCGGAGCCGCCCCGAAGAGCGGAAGAGTCTTAGAGCCGCCTCGAGGAAGCGACGGAGTCTCAGAGCCGCCCCGAAGAGCGGAAGAGTCTTAGAGCCGCCCGCCTCGAAGAAGCGACGGAGTCTCAGAGCCGCCTCGAAGAGCGGAGGAGTCTTAGGGCCGCCTCGATGAAGCGACGGAGTCTCAGAGCCGCCCCGAAGAGGGGAAGAGTCTTAGAGCCGCCCGCCTCGAGGAAGCGACGGAGTCTCAGAGCCGCCCCGAAGAGCGGAAGAGTCTTAGAGCCGCCCGCCTCGAGGAAGCGACGGAGTCTCGGAGCCGCCCCGAAGAGCGGAAGAGTCTTAGAGCCGCCCGCCTCGAGGAAGCGACGAAGTTTCAGAGCCGCCTCGAAGAGCGGAAGAGTCTTAGAGCCGCCCTCCTCGAGGAAGCAACGGAGTCTCAGAGCCGCCCCGAAGAGCGAAAGAGTCTTAGAATCGCCCGCCTCGAGGAAGCGACGAAGTTTCAGAGCCGCCCCGAAGAGCGGAAGAGTCTTAGAGCCGCCCGCCTCGAGGAAGCGACGGAGTCTCATAGCCGCCCCGAAGAGCAGAAGAGTCTTAGAGCCGCCTCGAGGAAGCGACGGAGTCTCAGAGCCACCTCAAAGAGCGGAGGAGTCTTAGAGCCGCCTCGAGGAAGCGACGGAGTCTCAGAGCCGCCCCGAAGAGCGGTAGAGTCTTAGAGCCGCCTCGAACCAAAAGAACTACGGGAGCGGCCAACGAAGGTGCTCAAGGCGATCTCAACCAACCACTTCAAGGTAACGCTGGAGTCATAGAGCCGCCTCGAAGGGAGAGAACGACGGGAGCGACCAACCTTGCGGGATCTTCAGCGCCGGTCATTTAGATGACTGCAGAGGAATTACAAGCCTTAAAAGAGTATCGCTCGACAGCCAAAGTTATTTCTCTGAACGAGCTCCTCGAAGAGGCTCACCACCACTCGCCTCGGTGTAGCGCATCCTCAGATCGTGAGCCTCGAAGATACGCTCGCCACCAATCGCCTCATCACAACCCATC